CATCATGTTGGGAGAGTGGAGGGACGGCGCAGGAGAGGAAGACCCTCAAGATGGATCCATTCTGTGATTGGGGTGGTGGGAATGGGTATGTCGGAGACGGCACAGAATAGAGCGGCATTTGGGGCTCTTGTACATACGGTTGCTGTGAGTCACAAGCAACTCTATGGCACATAACAACAACACAACAATAATTAGAAAAAGCAGTTTGCCAATTTTCAGAAATTTTCTATAAGTCATTAATTTGGCAAGTAGTAAATGGGATTTTAACTTCAAATGGATCAGATGCCAACAATTGTCTTAACTGTACTCATCCTTTAATAATCAAATTACGAATATTTTCAACATAAGCAACTAGGTTTTTTTAACTTACTTTTTTTTTTTTTTAAATATGGAACGATTCACGAATTTGCGTGTCATCCTTGAGCAGGGGCCATGCTAATCTTCTCTGTATCGTTCCAATTTTAGTATATGTGCTGCCGAAGCGAGCACTTAACTTACTTTTTAAAAATAACCATTCTAATATTTTTTTCTTCTTGATGTAAAATACCAATAGGAAGATGTAGAGAATGAATAATAACTAATATAATAGGGGTTTTTTAATATGTATTTTACTTAATTGGACATTATCCTTTGTTCTGTAATTTGAAGTTCTTTTATCCCCTTAGGAGTTTAACTTCAAGGGCTTTGTATATCAGCAGATCCTTCTAATATTTAGAAAGATTTTGTAACTGGTACTTTGGTTTGCCTAAACTAGGCCTTCACTAATTAATATTCCCTAATTTTTGAAAATCATTCAAAGTTTTAAAGTATCCCATCTAATTTGAATGTTTTCTGGTATTATTTTTGTTATTCTAATATGTTGTTGTTAAGTGCCGTCGAGTCATAGACGACTCACAGCAACCCTATGAACGAAGCATCTGGACACTTGTATAACTTTCATTGTTTCTCTACGTTCATAGAGTTTCCGGAGGCAAGCCATTTTGTAAGTGGATGCCACGCCTGCTTCCAAGCTTGTTTTAATTGAGAAGCTCCACCAAACACTGTCCACCATGGGTAACCATTATCACATTTGACAAATGAGTGTCACGGTGTTTGGATATTAGCAACCATGAGTTACCTCTGTATAGCAAATGGAGAGACCAGTGCTATACCACTTAGAAGAATGTTTGACAAAAAAACCCCAAACAATTAAAACCAGGCCCGAGCGCTACAGGTGGTTTTAAATAGGAGGCTGGAGAAGAGTATTGAACGTACCATGGACTGCCAAGAAAACAAACAGATTCATTGTAGAGAGGATTAAACCAGGCTGCTCCTTGGAGGCAAGGATTCTGGGGTTTCGTCTGACATACTTTGGACATGTTGTAAGGAGAGACAGGTCTTTAGAAGAGGGACATCATGCTGGGTAGAGTAGAGGGACAGCGTAGGAGGGGAAGACCCTCTATGAGGTGGATTGATTCAGTGACTGGGGTAATCGGGATGGGTGTGTCAGAGGCAATGAGATTGGCACAGGATAGAGCACGGTTTAGGGCTGTTGTACATAGGGTCGCAAATGACTCGATGGCACATAACAACAACAACAACAACAACACACCCATTAACGGATCAACATTCTACCCTAATCCTCACCAGTATCAGCAAAGAAGCCTTTGTAGAATCTGGCTCCCTCAGAGACTTCCAAACTGGATTCCAGTCTCTCCCTCCCTCCCTCCCTCCCTCTCTCTCTCTTTCCTTTCTTTCTTTCTTTTCTCTCTCTCCATCTCTCTCCCTCTCTCTCTCCCTCACTCCCCCTCTCCCTCCCTCCCTTCCTCCCTCCCTCGGCCACAAGATCTCGCCACCAGTCTCTTTCTAATATAGACCCCAAATATTTATAAGGTTCATTAAGTTGAACTTTTTCAGAAGCTACTTCATTAGGAAAGCATATTTTATCTATTCTATTGGCTAATTCTAAAACTTGTTTCTGCAATTTTTTATAATCAGTATCATTATCTTTTATGTCACTATGTATGTTTTCTAGGACTGGAGGAGAAGGAAAAGACTCCTCTTTCTCTTTAACCTCATCATTATTGCTCTTTTCATAAACAGTATGCTCTGAAGAAGATTCTCTGTTGATTTTCTTAGACATTTCGTCCTCTGTAATGATTGTAGAGCCAGTGAAATTGAATTACATAAAGACCAGACAGAGGAATAATTTCCCCTTTTTGATGGGCTCTGTGTAGACCTCTCATTAACATTACACCATGTTTTTAAATCCAGTTGAGATCTGCCAGTTAGCTAAAACCAGCAACAATGTTTTTTAATACATTTAACAACTGCAGAAAAGATTTTTCTTTCACTTTTACCCCAGAGCTCTTAAGCAGCTCCTTTAAGAGAGAAATATATTGAGCTTCAGAGAACAGCACGTTCTTCGTGATTTTCTTTCACTTCTACCTCTGAGTTTTTAAGCAGTTTACTTCAGAGGACCCATTCATTGGAAAAGTCCCCATGAAACTCTTACTACTTATTCCCTTGACTTTCTCCTTCAAGGGGTGACGGAATCCTCATGAAACTTTTCCTATTTCTTCTGACTTTCTCTTTCAGGGGGTGAGGGGATCCTCATGAAACATTTTCTATTTCTTCCCTGACTTTCTCCTTTAAGGAGTGAGGATTTCCTCATGACTGCCTTAAGAAAATTTTCCCAGAAGGCTTTACTTACCTTTTGGTTTCCCAGTGCCTGAGAGAGAGAAAGAGACTGTCACTTCCTTCATGTCCCTGTTTGAGTGCCAAGATGTTGTTAACCAGATGCAGAAAGAAAACAGGAACACGAGGAAATGAATTGTGAAAAAGAGGAAGGCTAGGCAGAGGTCCTCACAGCTTAGTATTGTGAAAAGGCCCCTTTCTCAGTCTGCCTATGGCTTTAATTTAGTTTAAGCCAATCATAATCATCATCATCATCATCATCATTATTATTATTCTATCTCGTGAGACTATCTTTTCCTTAAGTGTTGCCAAGATAATAATGGGTAAGCTTAATCTTTAAACTAAAACCAAATTTCAGACATGGCATCCTCTCTAGCGGGAGGCTGGGAGGAACCTACTGTTTGCAGGGGGCATCCAGTATCTCCTCAGGGGAGCTGGGCCGAAATTTTCATTTTCAGAGGGTGCTCAATCCTGCCTAGACTCTGATCTCAGCTGTAGCCTATCACTATGCCAAACTATCCACAATTTATCCCTTCTTTCAGTTTTCTCCCAAACAAGTGTAAGTCCTGTTGTATAACAGTGCCATCATGTAGTATTTGTCTTTTTGTGACTGAGGTATTTCACTCAGTATAGTGTCCTCCAGGGTCACCCATTTTGTATATTTCATGAGTTCTTTGTTTTTCAATGCTGCATAGTATTCCATTGTAAGCATATACCACAGCTTCTCTATCCACACATGGGTTGTTTCCATCTTTGCTGTTGTGAACAATGCAGCAATAAACATGGGTGTGCATATATCTATTTGAGTGACAGTTTTGGTTTCTTTAGGGTATATTCCCAGTAGTGGAATTGCTGGATCAAATGGCATTTCTAGTTCCAACTTTTTGAGAAAGTGCCATAGTGCCAGAGCAGTTGAACCATTTTACATTCTCATCAACAATAAATGAGAGTTCCGGTTTCTCCACAAACTCACCAGCATTTATTTGCTGCTCTGCTGAATTTTGCTATTCTTACTGGGCTGAGATGATACCTCATAGTTGTTTTGATTTGCATCTTTCTTAGAGTTAGGGATTTTGAACATTTCTTCATGTGTTTGTTCGCCATTTGAATGTCTTCTTTGGTGAAGTGACTGTTCATATCCTGTGGCCATTTTGCGAATGGGTTGTTTACCTTTATCTTGTTGTAGTGTCTTTACCTTTTTCATCTTGAGGTGCTGGAGTATTCTATAAATTTTTGATGAGTCCCTTATCTGATATGTTAATACCAAGTATTTTTTTCCCCCACTCTGTAGCTTTCCTTTTTACCCTGTTGGAGGAGTTTTTTAATGTACCTAAAGATTTGATTCTTAGATGGTCCATTCATGTTTCTTTTCTCTTGGTTGTAAATTTTTCCTTATGCTTGGAAGACTATTCATACTGTGGATTAGGGCTTCTAGAGTTCTTCCAAGCTTTTTCTATATGTCTTTAAGTTTTTTCTAGTCTTCGGTTTTACTCCGAGGTCCTTGGTCTACCTTGAGTTAGTTTTTTTATATGGTGTGCATCTTACTTGAGTTTTCTACAGATGGTTTTCCAATTTTTCTAGCCATTTGTTAAAAAGGTTATTGTTTCCCCACTTAATGGATTTCATTTTGCCAATAATCAGATGAGCATTGATTGGTGAGCTGATTTCTGAGTTCTCAATTCTATTCCATTGATCTGTATATCTCTTACTTTACCGGTAACATGCTGTCTTGACCACCATGGCTGTTTAGTAGGATTGAAATCTGGAAGTATGATGCCTCCTACTTTGTTTCTCTTTTTCAGGAGTGCTTTACTTATTTAGGGTCTCATTCCATTCCATTTAAATTGAAATTGTCTTTTACATTATCAGTTGGTTCTTGACAGTACATAACAATAGAAACATACAGATTGAATAGATATGGTGAAAGAATACAACCCTAATGTGCTCTCTTGCTGTTTTTAAAGAATGCATTATAATTTGTTCTCTTTGAACACCTACCTCTTGGTCTACACACAGGTTTACAGTTGTTACGGAATTCTCATTTTTCACGAAGCTGTATGTTAATTTAACTTGTTGAAGTTTTTCGGGAAAGCTATTTATATGACATACTTTCTTTTCTGCTAACAGTAAGTGAATGGGAGGCTATATTATAAACAAGATTTTAATATTTTGTTTTCCTCCTTTATTTTTGTAGACAGATGGCGTCCAGGAGAGAGATGCCTTGCTCCTTCTCCAGATGGTGAAAAGCTTTGTGAAGCAAGCGTAAAATCTGTCATTGTTGATGAAAATGGGAAGTCTTTTGCAGTTGTCTTATATTCAGATTCTCTAGAAAAGAAAATACCTCTTAAAAAACTTCGAGAAGTAAAATCTGTTAAAATATGCTCCAAGAATTTTGTATTTGATGATGAAGATTTGGAAAAACCTTACTTCACAGATCAAAGATTTCCATCTTCTGCTGTTGCTTTCAAATTATCTGAAGATGGAGACTGTATTCCTTATACTATTAATAGGTATTTGAGAGACTACCAAAGAGAGGGAGTCCAGTTTCTTTATCGACACTACATCCAAGGAAGAGGGTGTATTCTTGGTGATGACATGGGACTTGGAAAAACAGTACAGGTATTTATTTTAATTACTTTATAATTGATGTTCTAGGAAAATTTTTATTTTTATTATGTACATGTGTAGTTGTTGTTGTTGTTGTTATGTGCCCTTGAGTCGCTTGCGACTCATAGCGACCCTATGTACAACAGCCCTAAACTCCACTCTGTCCTGTGCAAATCACACCGTCTCTGACACTGCCATCCCAATTGTCCCAGTCACTGAATCAATCCACCTCATAGAGGGCCTTCCTCTCCTGAGCGTTCCTCCACCCTCCCAAGCATGATGTCCCTCTCCAAGGACCGGTCTCTCCTCACAACATGTCCTGGTTTAACCCTTTCCAGGACAAATCTGTTTGTTTTCCTAGCAGTCCATGGTATTCTCAGTACTCTTCTCCAGCACCACAGCTCAAAGGCATCAAT